ATCTCATCAAATTGTTTCTCATGCTCCGAATAACGATCAATCAAATCTCCCCACAAGGTAGCAGTAATGCTATTGTGACTGCAAGAAAAGTAGAAAACATCAAATTTAGGATTATCTGAATCCACAGTTTTTACTAAACAACGTATATTAACACCAACCCTAAAAATAAAACAAAAAGCTTACATCTCATCATACAATGGAATCTCCATCAACCTCCTCCCACATCTGTACTTGACAACTCCTTTACCTCCTACCTTCCCAATCACATCTAATAAAAAAGATTAAGACATCAGAAATCTATAACAGAACAATTAATAAGAAAACATAAATTCTTACATACCTAAAGCAATATTTTCATTAAGAACTTCATGTTCTTGGAGAAACACAAAGGTAGAGAAATCATAGATCCTAGCCAGGAATAAATCCTTAGGAATTTCAAATGTCGCAGTCTTGAAAAAGAACTCACACTTGAAAGGGTTAGGTGTAGTCTTGAATGTTATGTAGTTTTCCTATACCCAAAAAAATTTTATCGCAAAGTTATGGGTTTCAACAAACAGATACTCAATGTTCAGAATTAACTCTTTTCAATATGGACATGCACCCTCATACCCTAGAAAATTAAAACATAAACCTATATTAATAAATCTTCATGATAACCACAAACTTCAAAATAAACAAAACATTCAAACAAAAAATACGGATACTTTACCTTCTCATCCTGAAAGATGCACTCCATAGACTCTTTATACTTATCATTGGCCGATACCTTATACACATTAATTGCACGAACCTTCACTGTCCATGTTGATTTACTTGGGTTGACCTCACTTATCAAACTCCACATTCCAACCACTCTTTATTTCTTGCAAAACAGATATGAAAGCAAGCGCAATTCGCTGAGAACAAATGTTGGAGCACTGCACCTCGCTATTTATACACAAATTCATTTGTTGGAATATGGAAAGACAACAACATGCAACTCGTAGAACGAAGAAGGTGATCATTCGAACTGCAAAGATTATCTAGAAAAACGTAAAGTGTATCTGCGAAAAGTTGGAATACCAAGAGACTGAAATAGTTGCATACAGAAAACAACTTCAATTGATGCGTACAAATTGTTAAATAGCCACAAAATTTATTAGGTATCCATGCTACAAAAATGCAATAAAAGCATTGTCTAGAAGCCTCCAACGTAAACATAGCCCTTGGACACTTGCCATGCAGTTTTGGCGGCAACTTGTGCCCCAATAAACCTTTTGTTATTATATTAAGATAGATATCAAGACCATTCATAATATACTGATAATTTTTTAGAAATCTTCTCATAATGAAAGCGTACATAATATCAAATCATAAATACATCGCAATCTATTTTCTCTAACTTTACCAACCCTCTGTCTTCCGCCTCCCATCATCACTGTCTTCCGCCACTAAAAATATACTTCATTAACGACAACTTGCCACCACTCAAAATATCAAATAAAATTGTGTCATTGTTGGTGACTTGGTGTCACTAACGGGTATATACTTCATTTTAGGTATGTTTAGATTGTAGGAGTACAAAACTCTTAAAAACATTTCGGTGTTTACTATTTTCAATTAAATAATTGACACAAATTATAATATTGATGATAATAGAAGTTTTTGTTTCTCCAATTACGTCAACAGTATTGGGAAAATAATAAGTTAACTCAAATAAAGACATATTCCCTCCGTCCCTATATAAAAGTATACATTCATTTTAGACACATCTTAAGAAAGTGGGTTTGGTTGATACTGTTTGGCACTGTTTGGACACTGTTTGGCACTGTTTTGCACGGTTTTGCACTGTTTTGTTTGCCAAAAAAGGAAAGGGAACTTTTATTTAGGGACGGCCCGAAAAGGAAACAAATGCTTTTATTTAGGGACGGAGGAAGTATTTTTATACTCAAATAAAGGCATATTTTTAATATACAAAAATATTGATTTCCTTGTTATTAAATCTAGAGAGATTTACCTAAATAGGACTAAAACATATGAAAAATTCCATTATAGGACTACTAGTTTCATCTGATGAAGCGTAGGACTAAAATAACAGTAGAATGCCGAAATTGCCCTACGCCTCTCTTCTGTCGTTCGTCACTTGCGAGCCCTCCTGCTATCTCAAGCCCTGATGCAGTTTTCACAGGTAAGTTCTCCTCCTCCTCTTCTTTTTCTCCTCTTCTCTTCTCCTCTCTTCTATTTTCTTCCTGCTCGTACTCTGTTTCATTTTTTATTTTGAGTTATTAATTTTGAGTCCACTTTTAGTTGAATTTTATTTATTAATTTGTATTTTTTAGGTTTGAATTTTATTTATTCAGCAGAATGTCACTTTTATAATCTGAGAATGTCAAAATTATTGGTTATTTGAAAAAACTGTCATGTTTGTGGCAGTATATTTATCAGAATGACAAAATGAAAATGTCATATGCCATAAGAAAATGTCATTCTTATGGCATTCTATGACATTTTTATGACTTATCTGAGAATGACATAACTAATTTTTATTAGAAATGACATGTTTTTTGACATGTTTTTCAAATGATGTCATTTTATTGCAAACTCTCTCTTTAAAGATGGCTATATGTAATTGGCACATTCATGACATTTTGAGAACAAACACAACATTTCAAAAAAAAAAAGATGAAGAAGAAGAAGATCCATGGAGGAGACAAAGAGAAGGAGGAGAAGGAGAAGAGGAATAGAAAGAAGAAGAAGAAGAAGAAAGCGAAAAACCCTGAAAATTCGAAGAAAGATAAACAGAGCGATGGTGCAGGGCAAAGGCAGCGAAGTGGAGGTGAAGGCAGCGAAGCAGAAGCGGCGTAGGCGGAGCGGCGAAGGCAACTTGCAGTGGAGAAGTCGACGTCGTGCGATGGAATCGGCAGATCTAAGGGGAGATGATGAGATGCGGTAGAATCTGCAGATTTGTTTTGGACCTAGAGAAGGAATTGATCGATTATATGGCTGCAGGGGTAAAAAGAGATTAAATGGTTGCAGGGGTAAATTTGGGATGCCAATTTTCGTATGTTTAAGAATATGAGTAAATTGATCCTATTAAGGGGAGAAAACATAAGAGGTCTTATTTTTGCATTTAGCCCTTGTTTTAGCTCTATATAGGACAATTTTTCTTAAATCTATGGTTAGAAAATAGAAACAATATTCCTTAAACTAAGGTAATGCAATATTAAATGAACCAAATACCTTCATTGCCGCCTTTAGATCTATTCAAGTTTTTTGAGGTGTCTTAATTAGTTACATATACTTAGTTTGATAATTTGTAATTACTCACAGAAAACAGATTATGAATATATTGGTTTTTTTCCAGTTAAAGTATAAATATTCGAAGTTTTAGAAACCATAGTAACATTCGTGGTTTGACATCTTAGAATCTTCAGATTAAACTTCAACATATTTGAATTTGTTACATATACTTAGTTTGGTAATTTGTAATTACTCACAGAAAACGGATTATGAAAATATTGGTTATTTTTCAGTTAAAGTATAAATATTTGAAGTTTTAGAAACCATAGTAAAATTCGTGGTTTGACATCTTAGAAGCTTCAAATTAAACTTCAACATATTTGAATTTGTTACATATACTTAGTTTGGTAATTTGTAATTACTCACAGAAAACGGATTATGAAAATAGACGATCGAAGACAGCAGCCCCACTCTCTATCTGTCAGATTGGGATTATAGTCCAATTTACATCCTCTCAACGTACCGTCCGGTCGGGGTTGGGGGGGCTCAGGGATGGGGTGTCATCCTTTTTTTTGAGCCGAGGTGAGTTTTTTTTTTCTTTTTTGTTTTTACAATTTTTTGATTAATTAAGTATTTTATTTGTTAAATTAGTTTGTGTTAGTGACTTAGTGTGTCACAATTGATTTGTGTAATTGTATGCTTTGAATTGTGAAATAGAAAATTGTGATTTTTTAAGAAACGGATTATGAAAATAGACAATCGTACATAAAATGCTATTCAATCGAATAATTATGAAGGGTTTTAAGAATAATATTCGGATTGGAGATTGTTGAAAAAAAGTGAGCAATGAAACTGAAGTGTTTTCGAATTATATTTCATTAAGGTGCAAATATAACAAAATAGCCTTTGTCCCAAGTCAATTATCGTTTAAATGTTATTCTTTTTATTTCAAAAAGTAATAATAATTTTAATGAACATGTAATATATGCATTGGACTAACATGCCCATTACTCATTAGTTAGCGCATGCTAGGGGTGAACAAAAAAACCGAAAAACCGAAACCGACCGAGAAATCGACCGAACCCGAAACGACCAAAATTGAAACCGACTCGAACCGAAACCGAGTCAAACCGTCTAATCATTGACAGTTCGGTTTACAGTTTCATCTTTTGGTTAAAAAACTGACCGAACACATAAACCGACAAAAACATGCTAAAACCGACCGAAACCGACTCAATAACTACGGTTCGATTTACGATTTCACCTTTTCTAAAACCAAAACCGACCAAACTAAAAACTGATCAAATCGAACTGACGAACACCACTAGGGCATGCTATATGTTCATTGAAATTATTGCAAAATGTAATACCGAGTATTTAATGAATTTGTTATTGTCTGTCCCGATAAGTTCGGTACATGAAAACTGACAAGTCGTGTGATTATTAAACTACTAGGTTGTACTCATTGAGAAAAAAAAATTGACATTAAATTAGAAAAAAACTACTACGTTTTTCTAATTTAAGGTCTCTGGGGGAGGCCTTCACATGTAATTCTTTATTTCGCTTCGCACTGCAGTGCCTTACTGCCCCCTGCGCAGGGGCGGATGGTGCCTTGGCCAAGGGTGGGCTTCAGCCCAGCCCAATTTTTTTTTTTTAATAGGATTGGTTTATTTTTTGTTCACAGCCCACCCTAAATTTAAATGTCAGCCCACCCCACAAATAATTCCCAGCCCAGCCCAGAAAAATCAGCCCACCTCTGCCTAATTCCTAAATGCCTAAGCCTCTTACGGTCTTACCGTCGGTCTCCCCTGCGGATTGCGGAAGTGAGGGAAGTCGAACGAAGTAACGAACGAAGTGGGCGAACTGGCGAAGGGCGAACTCCGGCGAAGGCAGCACTGCAGCAGCGACTCAGCGACGCGGCCGACGCCAGCGAGCAGCGACCGAGCCGTCCGAGCGACACCCAGCGAGCAGCGACCGAGCCGCCTCTTCCTCTGCCCGACCGGAGACCGCGGAGGCGCGGACCGCCTCTTCCTCTGCCCGACCGCGGACCGCCTCTTCCTCTGCCCGACTGCCCGACCAGGTAAATCCTCTGACCTCTTTGTTGTTTTCAGAATTTCAGGGATGAAGTGTTGAATTTTCATTGTGAATCAGTGAAGTTATGAACTTCTGCTGTGAATCTGTGAACTTTGAATGAGTGAATCTGTGAATTGTGCATTTTAGGTTGAACAATACTAGTAATTTTAGAATTTAGAGTGAATATGTGAATTGTGCATTTTAGACTGAATGAGTGAATCTGTTAAATATTTTTTATATAAGTTTTTTAATTTATACCAATATCGAAAATGTTTTTTTAGAATGGATAATGAACATGTTGCGAAGAAGGGAAAGAAGTTGATTTCATCATTCTTTTCAAAAGTGAATCGTCAAACCGGTGAAGGAAGTTCTGAACCTATACCTACGATAGTGCAAGATCTAGATTCTATTATTGATGAATTTTATACTTTGAAGTCGCGTAGGGCACAACTTAAATGATGTTTTAATGAATTTGTAAGCGTTGACGACTTGACTTATTATTATTTATGTGTATTTCAATTTTTTTCCCAGCCCACCCCATTGTAACTTTCTGGATCCGCCCCTGCCCCTGCGCCTGTGCGGCTGTGCCCCTCACTCGCTCCGAGTAACGCCCTGCGCAGCAGGGACATCCGGCCTCCGCCACTGCCTGCTCGCTGAGTCGCTGGATTTCCATTTTCAGGCATGTATTTTACTTTCAGTATATTTTTGTTATATTTTATTGAGTTCAGTTTTATGCCTTTATTTAGTTCGCCTGTTTACTTTCTCGTTCGTTGTGCTTCACATAAATGCTAATTTGCTATATTTAATTTGAATCTGGTTTAGAGCTTTAGTGAGCTCGTTAGGAGTAAACTTCTTGCTTTTGTATTATGTAAAAAGTCTAAAAAAAATCTTTCACCTAATTATGAGGATAAATATGACCCGCAGCTGGTCTGATGGTTTCTTAAATTCTTAACAGTAAACTTTAAAGCAGCAAATATGAAGAAATCTCTACATTGCATTCATGAGTAAAGATTCTTTTAGTCACTAAAATCTAACTATTACTAGAAATCTCTGCATTGCATTTATCTTTGCAGCGTTGGGGTTTAAGGTTAAATTTGGGATGTTTGCTAATTGACAAACTTGTATGAGATCGAGATGCATCTGCATTATCTTGTTTTCCTCTAATTTGGCCTGAATAAGTGGTTTTTCTGTAAGTAAGCATTTGTATTTGCGTTGCGAGTTTCAGATTAGGCTTGATATGCTAAAAATTGTTTTCATCTTTTATTAAATATTTATCAGACATACTAGGGGAGAGGCAGCGAATAATAGAGGTACTCCATCTGTTTGAGTGTAATTTTTTGTTGACAAAGATACAATGGTAGAACGCCTGCATTACACAAGATCATTGTTCTTAGTTTTACTTTTAAATTAATTCTAAACACCCAAAATAAAGGTGCTAGATCAGCCACTGCTCATTACTTAGTTTGATGCACCATTAAGTATGTCTGTTGCACTTTCTTACAGTGATAGAAAACATTGGTCTATTTATCAAACTGCCACCACATTTTTGTCAAATATACTGTAATGTTGACATGTTTTGAGCCATTAGATCTAAAACATTAAGTTTCCCAAATTCATCATTAAGGCTGTTTTTATTAAATCAAAAACCTAAATACACACACAATGACACAACCTCCTAAATCAAAACGTATTTGATAAATAATCGGGGTTGCTGGTTACTGTAGGGAGACATGGGAGGCTCCAAGCACATGTTCAGTTTTCTCTTCACGGTCAACAATGGCGCCCCCGCCATTTGTCTAAATCAGATTGTCTTTTCCATCTTCTTCACTTAGAACCAAATGCTCCGGGCCTCTGGTATGTTATGAATGTGGATATACACACACAAACAAATATTTATATTCATGTGCAATTTGAAATTGATTTGTTTTTATTATGCAAATAATATAGTTTTCTTATGGTAAGACCTTCCATATTTAGCTGAATACGTTTCATACAAATGTTGATTTTAAAATGTATTTTTTTGTTAAAAGCTACTTTTTGCGTATACAGTTTAACGGAGTAAAGCAGAGTTCTTTAAAGTTGGGTTCTAAGCGACGGTCCTGCCAGGTCCAGTGAGGCAGCACACAGAGACGCAACTTTCTCCAAAATACAGCACTGTAACACGCCATCACCCTAGATCTCACCCAGCACGCAGCCACGGCAGCGCCTCTGACGGGTTGACCTGATTAGTTCAGGTACGTGACAATTTTTTTTGAGTTTCTTCTTCTTCAGTACGACCTCCGTTTTTTTCTGATCTTACTTTGCTTGCTCTCTCGCTGTTAATTGATTTTACTTCCCTCCTTCACCGTGTGTTTTGTAGGAAAAAGGGAATATTTCACATATGTTAGTATAGGTTTGCAATTCTTTAGGTTTTCATTCATTATTCTTTGTGAGTCGTTAATTTTATCACATTTTACTCATCCAATAAAGGTGTAAAGTTGTAATTGTGCAAAATTTATGATCATATTGGTTCAAATTGAGCTAGTAGCCAGTAGGTTCTAGTTGAAGCTTTTACTCTTTTATGTTACAGATTGTATTTTTTCATGAACTTCCTGCGAAAAATCGAAAATGATCTACTAATTGATTTAGTTGTTCCAAAGAATCGAGTATGTTGGCACATGGTAGTAGGTTCATTTGAGGCAGTAGCCATTATGTTGTCATTCCATAGTTAGCTGTTAGTAGCCTGTAATCTGTATGTACGTTTGATACTTCAATTTAAATGCTGGTCCTGAAGTTCACATAATGGCAGGTTGTTTATACTGGAATTCACATTGTTGATTTTATTTTGTGAAAATTTGACTATTTTTTAGTATACATATTGGTCAAGAAAAGTTCAGTGTTTTTCTATGTCAAGAAAAGAGACATGTGCAGGCGCCAGGTTGTACATCAAACAATACTTTTATACAAATCTTTAATTTTGAATAAATTTTGAACACCCAAATATCTATTTGTGATGTTCCTACACTATCTATATTCATTTGCCCACGATTCTTTTAATTTTTATACCTATAGTGCTAATCAAGCAAAAGATCAGAACCATAGAAAAGAAAATATAGCTGATTTCTTTACTCATGCGGTCATGCCACCTGGAGCGATAAATAACAAAAAGAAGATTTCAAAATGAACCATATAAATGCAAGCACTAAGCCACTAATACAAGCAACATTAACCAACATAGGCTAAACGTAATAGTCAGTTAAATTAAAATGCCTTCTTTAGAGGATTCTTCATTACCTGGTTTGGAGAATAAAACCACACAACAAATCCACACAGCAAAACCATTTACTCAGAGAGTCTACTGCATCTTCAATTCGAAGCTTTGCATTGAACCAAAAGAAATGGGTCTTTTATGTACAATGACTTAATGACGGGAATTGTATTAGCTGATAAAAGTGATAGGTAAAAAGTTAAAAACTTTTTCATTCATTTTCATTCATTTTCATTTACCCCATTGCCGCAAAGGCTCCCACCTACGGTGGGGTAAGGGGGGTCGGATGTACGCAGTCTTATCCCTGTACTAAAGCACAGAGAGACTGTTTCCGGATGACCCATAGTGAAATCACGTCCAAAATTGCATGGACTGACTGCTGCTCCATAACAAAGAAGCGCAGACAGTTTAGTGAGCCATTTTGCTTTATTCCATCATAATCTCAAGCCAAAAAATAATGAATCTTTGGTTCCATTGCAAATGATGGAAATTAAAAAGTTAAAAACTTAAATAATTAAATTTAAAATGTTAATTCCAAGACAATCTGGTGGTCAGAATCTCAAAAGACAACATATATACAATTTCCAGAGCAACCTAACAAAGACAGTCCTCATCTTGTCCACCTGTAGGAGTGCACTAGTTTTTTTGCGGCAAGTTCTATGGCTGGATTCATCATGCTTGTGTGTGTGTATATTTCATATTTCTATTGCATGTTTTTCATGTTTTCATTTTGCGTTACAAAAGGTAACACGACTCACGAGTGCTTGTTTGTTACTTATTGAACTACTATTTTTTCTCAAATGCAGTTAACGGATCTCAATAGTCTGCCTTTATCAGGTTGGTTTTTGCAGCATCTGGGACTAGATTAAAGTTCTGATATGGAGAAGAGTGGTACTGGTAAAAAAACCAACATTCAGCTTCTAGAAAGCATGTGTTATTTCATTAGAAGGTGCATCATCTCACTACTTTCTTCTGGCCCTGTTCCTACTCATATTGCATTTATAATGGATGGCAATCGAAGATACGCGAAGAAACTGAATTTGGAAGAGGGACATGGGCATAGGGCTGGGTTTGCTGCTCTTATGAACTTATTAAAATATTGTTATGAGTTTGGTGTGAAGTACGTAACTGTTTATGCCTTTAGTATTGATAACTTTAAGAGGCGCCCCGAAGAAGTTGGATCCCTCATGCTCTTGATGCAGGAAAAAATTGAAGAGTTGATTAAAGAGGAGAGCTTAGTAAACAATTATGGAGTTCGACTGTACTTCAAAGGGAACCTAGACCTTTTGAGTGACTCTGTTAGGTCATCAGCAGAGAGGGCAATGGCTGCAACTTCGGGTAACTCAAAAGCCATCCTATCGATCTGCGTTGCCTATACATCAACGGATGAGATAGTACATGCAGTTGAACTATCATGTGAAGAAAAATGGCAGAGTTCAGATATTTATCGACCTGTGAATGGAAATGGTAAAAATGAGAACCTCATTTTTGGGGTGACGGATATTAATAGAAATATGTATATGGCTGGTGTTCCTGATCCTAATATTATAATACGTACCTCTGGCGAAACTCGATTGAGTAATTTTCTACTATGGCAGAGTTCAAAATGTCTTCTTTACTCTCCAGAATCACTTTGGCCAGAGATGGGTTTCCGGCATTTGGTTTGGGCAATTCTGAATTTCCAAAGATATGCCGTCTACCTTAAAGGGGCAAAAGAGAAAGAAACTTGATTGGTAAATCAAGTTTGGCCTTCTTTCGTATTCTTAAAAACTCTTCTTTAAAGTTGAATTCACCTGTAATTGCTAGAAAAAGGTGCTGTTCTATTTCTCGCCTACGCCTTCTCATTTTTTTTGTCTTGAATAGCTATCATAACCTTGAAGGGAAAATGTTGCTCCAAGGTGACTCCATTGTATTCAGCTGTTTATTTGGTAAATCAGGACCATAAAATATGAATAAATCTTCTGGCTGATGATATTTGTGGGGAAATGAATAAATATGACTACAAGTCTACAACTATCTCATAATGTTTTTCTCGTTTTTCATTATTACTCTTTTTCAACCTTTTACAGAGGCATTGTGTGCTTCAAATTTTAAATTAAAGCTTTTCGGCACTAACTTATAACAAGCTTGTTTGCTTTAGATATTTGGGAGGAAATAAGGTGAAGATGTCTCTATTTTGCTTCTCTATATCCATGTTTTTTTAAAATAAAATGACTTATACCTCGTATTAAAATAGCATAATCCTACCAACTCAACAAGAACAGCTACAAGAGACAAGCAGGAAAGACCAGACAAAATTACTCTCTTCGTCAGTTTTTTTATCACCTCTCCCAGTCTCCGTCAGTTTTAAAATAGCAACTTTGATCATATATTATTATTTCAAAGTTTCTACAAGTTTTAAAATAGCAACTTTGATCATATATTATTATTTCAAAGTTTCTAAATGAATGATTTTTAAAACAAATATTATACCCAGAAATATCTGAGTCAAACAAGCAGTTAATTCATGGATCTTTTCAAGGGAAAAAAAACACCAATAATTATCAATCTGAAAGCCCATCAATTTGTTAATATATGTCAATGTCAATAGGGCATTTGAAATAATCTCATCTTATAAGTTTGAAACCAAAACAAGAACGTCAAACAATACTCCGAAAACATCTAATATCAAGAAATCCTCGTACAAAATAACAAAAATGGAGTAAGGGAAGTCACTACGTCCTAAAATCCCAATGATGACTTGCCGACAGCCCAATATTACTTGCGTATCATTTGATGTTTTTTACAAGAAAATATGTTTCTACTTTAGACTATGAAATAGTGCACAAACGAATACATTTTGTTTTATGCTGTAGGGGTAAGTTGTCTTAATTTGGCCTGTAAGATAGCACCAGCTTCGTCAGAAATACTTTTCTTCTTTGCAGCAACCTGCATTTAGTAAAAGTACAACTGGTAACTTAGCAGCAACAACAACAACAAGATTGGTAACTTAGCAAAAAAGAAAATACCAGCACAGTGGTATTTTCATCTTAAATACATATAATCAACACTTCATATAAATTTGACGAAAAAGATAAATATGAACAGTGGGCTAAACTTGTGTCAATCTGCTACATAATTTGCAACTTTGCTGAATTACATCACCTACACATGGTCACACAACTCACACCTCATAAAAATATAAAAGTACTTATTACTTTATGAACAATTTGGATTAAATCATTCAAAAATGAAGTAATTGATTCTTATCATATATGATGTGAATGATTAATACATAAACACACACACTATATACACTGGCTTGGTATAAATACAATGCACTACTCCCCACCAAAGACTCTGTGTTTCGTCGAGGTACAATCTTTTAACTAAACAAGGTAAAACTTACTAAAAAACGGTTTAACTAAAGTTTTGCCTTTTATTTTTGGAAAATTACATGAACCACCAACTTGTTTTATAAAATAAGAATCTTTTGGGACAGATGGAGTAAATATATATATATATATATATATATATATATATATATATATATATATATATATATATATATATATATATGCACACACACACACTGAATCACCTACCAAACACACATACATACTAACATATATACATACATAATACGGAGTAGTTTTTTTCAACAATAATTAAACAGGGCGAGAGAAGGAATTGCCCAAACGCTCCCATGACTCCAATCAGGTACTAAGTGGGAAATAGTTCAAACAATTTGAACCAGCATTAGTGTGTCTATAAAATAGCACCACACATTTATACATGATAGACATAGCTTGAGCATTAATAAAATTCTGATCTACCTTCCAAAACTTTTGGGAAGCTAAAAAGTGAAAAAATATGTTCATCCAAGAAATCTTAAACAAATAAGTTTGTCTTTAAAAAATTGCAAATCTGCATATTCCACAAATCGACAGAACGAAAGATGGACATTTGAACTTACATCAAGAAGCTGGTCATAATTGGATTGTAGAAGATTTATTTTACGTTCACAGTAGTCTTTTCCGTCTGCCATAGTTTTCTACAGACAAAAAGTGATAAAACCCAAGTTAGACAATAAAGTTTTCCTCGTACTGGTATGTAAATAAGAAAGGTGCTTCACCTTCATTTGAAAATGAGAAGGGTGCCGAAGGTATTGTTCTATTCATATTTCATGTACATACAACACTCATACATGTGTCACACAGTTCATCATAGTTATCAATGGCAGTTATAGCACAAATGGCAAGAACTATAAATCACTTTGGCATTTGAAGCTCTCTTCGCCACAGAAATGCTCCATGGTGGTCGCCATCACCATGTCCACATGCGCCACATATCTAGATTGTTGGGACTTGGCCCAATTATTGATCGACCATTCATCCACAATTTGGATAAAAAGAAGCCCAATACCCAACCATTACAAAACACAAATAAGAGGTTGCTCTTTATTGTGTGACATCTATGACAAATGCGCAAGGCTCTCCACATTCAGAGAAGTTGTGCAAGAACCAAACGACAACAAAAGAGCGCCATGGAGGGATTGAGGATGAAGTGCCATCAATGTCTGATTCACATGCAGATGACGACAACGAGTGTGATGATGGATCATAATGATCGAACAAAAATCCACATATGTTAGAAGACTGGCTCATTGCCATGATTGTCTTCATAGGCCATGACAATTTTGCAACCCACAACATCTTAAAGTGTCAAAACATGGTACCACTGGGCTCTAAGCAGACATACTACGTATGTTGACATATAAAACTTCATGTACTAGTATTCTTCTAAGAAATATATTTCCTATTCATGGACTCCTTAGTAAGTAGAAAGAGATCTATGAGAATGGAGGGATTGGAGTAACAATTCTCAATCCCATGTGAGGATTTCTATTATTGAGTTGTTATCTTTATATCTGATTATCCGGGGATAGTACCTTTTGACCAAGAGATGGATAACAACTAGTTTTGGCGGTAGGGCATGGGGCTAACTCGTTAACAATGTCATACAGTAAAGGGCTAATGAATACCATCATTGGTATAAATGATAGGGACTGTGAACTGCCATTTTGGTCTAACAAGTTCTCTGTCCATTTGCTATGGCCACTAGTTACCACTGACTAGTACATAATATGTTGTCATTTGTAAGGAACAATTTTCTACCTCAGGCCTGCAGGGTGGGGGTAGAGATAACCAAGGATCGAGCCTCTATAACTTTAGTATTGGTTAAGTCTGAGTTTATGTGCATAAGTACATATCCAACGGATTATGCTTTGCAACTTGCAAGAAATCGTTAATATATTTTGACTATTTAGTAAAATTTATTTTGACAATACACAAATAACTCATTATTTAAAAAATATATTAAAGTTTGACTTTTATTTTTGACAATTATTTTTAAATCAATTGTTTAGATGTATCATATATGCTTCAATTTCACTCAACTCCAAAGGACCTAATTTCTATCATGTCATGGGCCTACAATGTTTTGTCATTCCTTGACTACACCACACTAAGGGAGTGTTCGGTTCCTAGAATGTTTTATTACTCTTGATATTGACATTAGTAACCATTGAATGGATGCTGAGATTGGCATATCACACAGTGTACATATTTTTGTTTGGTTATTCTATCAAGTATACTCCGTATTAACTTACCTTTTTTACTGGATCAACATATGACAGACAATATATTGCTTTCCTCATCTCAGTTTGTATAAGTATTTGGGAAAACCTATATGCAATATTATACTCATGTTTACTTGAACCCTAGCTTGCTCTCTCACTTCTAAAATACATTCCATTTCTCACACAAATCAGACTGGTAAGCCTTTACAAAAGGACTCAAACACTATCCCAATGATTCTCCAGCTCTGTGTAATCTTTCTTATTCCCCGAATCAAAGGTTTAATGGATCAATTTCTCTATTTTCAATATCATTTAGTAATTATTCATTGTGATAAGCAAGTAGCTACCACTCCCAACCGATTAACTGTCAAAGTCAACCATTTTTTCACAATGAATAATTACTAAATGTTAGCGAAAGTTGTTTAAAAAATCTCACACTTTTCACATACAAAATTGCCAATTATATAAGTTCTTTATCTACTGATTGATTGGAAAAAGGAAATAAAATGCAAGGAATGACTTACCTCCACATAATACCCAGTCCCAATATCAACCAAAACATTATCAGCATCATCCAGGGTTCCCGGTACATAAAGCGACGCCGTTAGTGGAACCAACATTTTCTTCCCTGCACCCAAGCATTTCAGTTTGTAAATTGGAGGGGGGGATAGGGCAACAGAATGAATAAGAAGAAGAAACCTAACCTCGAGGACGGAGGGAAAGATCGCTAAGGGCAGTGGAAGCTACTCCGAGGCGGGTGGTAGCTGTTCGGATGTTGTTGAGGCTGTCTCGGAGTAGGTTGACTTCAAGATCGGTCTGTTCTTTTACAGCTTTGAGTTGCTCGACGCTCAACTTCTCTAACTCCACCGTAGCAGCCGCTGGTCCTGACCCTTTCGAGGATGCCATTACACTTCGCAACCCTTTCTGTGAGTTCAGATGGGAAATTCTGTGCTATTCAATTTTAGAGGTAGCTACACCAAGGGTTTGCTACTGTATTCTAATTCAAGTCATTTATGTTTTAACAATAATAACACTATTTTTAACATCTTTTCTTTTATATAGTAAAGTTGAGTTATAGAGTAGTGATGTGTCACTCTCTTATGGGTTAGCACAAATAACTATTATTATTATATTAAAACAGTTAGTTATTACGGAGTCATTCAGTAAATGTTGTAAACTCCCTACTATTGAAACTCCTACGTGATGTTGGCTACTACTTTTATAGAATTTAATTAAACATACACTCTACTGAGTAGTGTTCCGGTCAGGCCTTCTTGATCGGAACCGTCGTCCGGGCGATAGCTTTTGGGGCCTTTTCCGATGGATTTTTTGATGAAATTTTTATGGCATGTTCTTAATCAAGTCTAGTTTATCCA